CTCTCTGGGTGTGACCATCGAGCCAATTTGCCACCCGACTGTGTTGTGGTTTTTTAACTTTATATATAATCTAGCAAATTTGTTCACATTCCGACAGTTAAATCTGGTTTTGCTTTATTCTTAAACTGAATAATATAGTGCTAGTCCCCTAGCATATTAGTAAAGTTTCTAGTTTCTCTTTAACTGGAGAAAAATGTGTGTTGTGTTATATGTTATCATCAGGGATCCTGGTTTTCTGTGATTAAAAATTGCAAATTCTCCAATTAAAAATAGCAGATTCTCTGATTAAAAACCCAAAATCCATGATAAAAATTAAAGGCCCCCCACAGTCCTTCCAACACTGCTGGTGCCCCGCACTTCTCCCCACAGCCTCAACAGTTCTCCTGATGCCCTTCACAACAGCCCCCCAGACCCACAGACACAGACAAGAAGGCACAGACATGCAGACACAGAGGCACACACAGACACTGACACACACCCCAGGAGGTAAATGTGTGTGGGGGGAATGGGCAGGGCAGGGTGGGAGAAAGGGAAGGTGCTGGGGGGGGTGTAGATCAAGAAGTGGGGGAGCATGCCCCTGTGCCCACTCCCTGGAGCAGGGCCAGGGGGTGAGGGCAGAGGTGCGCATTGTGGGGTGCGCATGTCACCCAGGTGGCTGCCCAGGGGAGGGGGAGGCTCACATGTGGCCAGCTGCACAACTGTGTGGCCGGCTCTGCAGTGGTGGCGAGGGATAGTGGCTGGGGGGGCAAGGGGAACTCGCATGCGGCAGCCGCTGCCACCTGCCTGTGGGGCTGTGCTAGCGGAGATAGACGCTGCATACAGAACCTTCCCATGCCACCGCAGAGCCATGCCTGGAGCTGTGCAGCCGGCCGCATGGCGGCTGTGGCAGTGTGGTGGCAGCCATGGCCACTGTGCAGCATGGGATGGTGGTGGGATGGCTGCATGCTGCCTGTCTGCTACCACACTACCGCTGCCACTCTGCAGCCAGCTGCACAACTCTGGGCACGGCTCTTTAGCAGCGCGGGGAGGTTTTGTACTCAGCGGCAGTCTCTGCTGGCACAGCCCCACAGGTAAGTGGCAGTGGCTGCCGCATGCGAGTCCTCCCCCCCCCCAGCCACTATCCCTCGCCGCTGCTCCACAGCCAGCCACAGAGCTGTTGCAGCTGGCCACATGTGAATCGCCCCCTCCCTCTTCCATGGCAGTTGGCCAAGCGGCATGTGTGCCCCGCATCACTTGCTCTCAAAGCCTCCTGCAGAGTGGCACCCCTGCCCTCACCCCCCGACCCTGCACCTGGCTCCTGTGTGCCACTTGGGACTGGCAGCACTCCCTGCTCCTTCAGCCCCCAGCCCCCTTCCCCAGCCCTGCCCCACAGCCCCACTTACCTCTAGGATCCAGTGGCGAAGGACGAGTCTGAGCCTGAGCCCAGCCTTGACTGACTCAGAGGCTCAGGCCCCACCCTTCCCCCTCTCCCTCCCCCTCTGGGTAGGGCTGGGGATTTACTGTCCTTTCTACAATCAGCTCTTTGCAAAAGTGGAGAATCCATGGATTTCTCTGCTAAAAAGGGAAATACATGTTTTCTCCAATAAAAACAGGGAATCTGTGGTTTTCTCTGTTTTTCTGTGGGAAACAGCAAACCTGGATCTCTGGTTATCATGTGCCACACCATCTGCACCTCCCATCTGCACCCACCCATGCCTAAATAGGATTAGGCCATCTAATGTCTTCCATTAATGGTAAATTCTTAATTAAATGGTCAATATACTGAAATCAATTATTTTATATAAATTAGTAGATCATAAAAGGGTGAAATACTTATCTTACGTGATTTTATCTGGTTGCCTGAAAGTGTGTGTAGTGTCAATAAAACTTCCTTTTAGCCCTTTAAAGCAGTGGTTCTAAACCTTGTTAAACTCAAGGCACCCCTCGGACTCAAGGCACACTTCAGAAACTACCAGCTTTTACCTTTCACTTGATTTTTGGCTATGTAAAAATAATAAAGCAGTTCTTTTGTGAAGAACTTGGAGAAACTGCAACAGGTCAGAATGCTTTTGACACTCATAGATTCATAGATGCTAGGGTCGCAAGGGACCTCAACAGATCACGACCACAGCAGGAGCCCTAACTCTCTCAAATGTATTGGAGAAAGTATTTTTTTTAAAAGCTAACCAGTTCTCCCCCTCTTTCTGCTAGCATATTATATTTGCAAATAAGACAAATGTGCAGAGGTGTAACAAGGCACCTGGGCTTCTGGGGCAGTGGGATGCATGGGGCAATAGTGCCTTCCATCTTCCTCTGTGCTGCTGGTACAGCTGTGCAGCTGCAGCAGCAGCTTCTATTTTTCTTCTTTTCCTTCCCCTCCAAGTTGGCTACCCCAGTTGTCCCACCCTAATTAACCTACTGAGCATGTGAGACTTGGCAAACTTTATTCACAATAGAGAAATAATGCAAGGCCTAAGGAGGCAACATGAAGCTTTGCAGGAAATTAAACTACATTTTGTCTAGATAAGTAAAAGTCAATACATTTGGGGAAAAAAGTTATCTGAAACAGATTTAATGGTAGGGAGATACTGGGAGAATCAATAAAGCTAACCGATTGCCACGTTAGATGTGACCTTAAATTGTGGTAAAGTGACAAAAGGAAGTGATATGGCTCAGTGAGGTACTGTGAGGCGTCTTTACATGTGCTCTGGGGTGGTGGGGGCACTTTAATTAGAGCAGGTCTTGGGAGTCACTCTAATTAAAGCGCCTGCAATATCTTGTGTATTCAGTATCTTGCGCTTTGAAATAGTATCAGGGACACTTTTAAAGCTTATTCAACGAGCTTTAGTTAAAGCGCCCCTGCCACCATTTTGAAGCATGGGGATGCTGATTCATGTGATGCCAAGGTTGCTGGAGCATGCTAATTAGATTAATTGAGTCTGCTCTGATGCATTCTAATTAGAACACATCAGAACAGGTATCAGGCACATGTAGAGATATCCATTAATTCTCTGTCCTGAGTGCTTTTGAGAACAAAACTAGAATATTGTGTTAAATCCAATTGAGTTCAATATTAGAAAGATGTTGATTTAAAATGGAAGTCATGTGACAAAAAAATGGTTACTGGCCTGTAGAGAATAATTAAAAAGGAAAGTTATTCAGCTGATGAGTAAAGGGGATATTACAGTATTATACAAATATTCCTGGTGTGTGAGCACCAAAGAGGAAGTGTAATTCCCCCCCTTCCCCCAATTTGGAATTGAGGGAGGTTGGGGTTCCAGCCTCCTATTAGCCTCAAATAAATTATTCTTATCCATAAGAGAGCATAAATAAAATCCCTGTAGTCTGTGCTTCTTATGTGACACTGAGGGTAATTACATGTTTCCCCAGGGGTGGGGACAAGCAGTGTTTTGCCTGTAATAGCAGCCTTGAAATTGACAGACCCTAGTCTGTTTCAGAGTTGCTAATAGCACAGAAGTGACAGCAATTGAGATGGGCTAAAAGAATTAACTGTACCTTGCATGTCTGATTAAAATTGTCTAATGGCCAGATGAGCATACCATGTTCAGTGTAGACTATATAATTCTTCTTATGTTCCTATGATATGAAAATGTTAAGCACTGTATTTAAATAGTGTTTCTGTTTTAATTGTATAGTTTCAACAACTGTTAAAGCCATAATGCTACAGTAATGAGCACCATTTAAAATAGAAGAGCTAATGCTATAACTTTAACTTTGTTTAGGCAAGTTTCATTTGATTTCAAAAATGGGAAGAGTGGAAAAAAGCATAGAGGCTCATTGTGGAGCTGTACTTGCAGGAAGATGGAATTATGAAGGAACAGCATTAGTTACAGGTAAGAGTTTGTCTTAAAAGCTTCCTGCATGCCCCTCCCCACCCCCCACCCCAAAAAAAAGGGGTAATGAAAAGCTCTTTCAAACAAAAGCATGCTTTCTAGATGAGGTTGACATTTCCTTAGTTTCAAGCTACTAACAAAGTACAACATTTATGCAAAAGATTTTTAAACTATAAAAGTTATAAAATGTAAAGGTACCTTCTACTGAATGATAGAATTTGTGAGGAAAAAATATCATTAGGGTTTTCTTGACATTTATTTAGAAGCTGGGGGCATGCATTCCATAAGTTTTATGGCAGTTGTTCCCAATTTGAATCATCATTGTTGGCAGTCCCTCGATACTAGGATGAGTGTCTTCCAGTAGATAGGGAAGTCATTGGTGAGTCCAGAGATGAATGAAGTGGCCAATCCAAGATTTGCAGGTTCAACTTCAGATATGGCATGCAGTTCCAGAAGGAAGGGGTGGATCCCAGTTATGTCAGGTCACAGCTCTTTCCCTTTGTTCTCTTGCTTATTTGCCTCCATTTGCTCAAAATGGTCTCTGCTTTGCCATACTTCATTACACCGCTGCGGACAATTCAGTGCTTTAGCCTCTCAGTTATTGATGTTAATATTGTATTTCTTCTGATTGGCCTTTGAGTGTCATTGAATGTCTTCTTTTGCCCACCTCTAGAATAGTGACCAGTGGCAAGCTAATAGTACAGGATGGGGTGGACAGTTATTTCGGGCGGAGGGCCACTTACCAAGTTTTGGCAAGCTGTCAAGGGCTGCATGGGTAGCCCTGCCCCTTTGCAGGTGCCCTGCCCCCTTGTTGCCATCTTGGGACCGGGAGTCCCACCCCATAACTCCCAACCTTTGCCACCAGAAGTCCCTCCCCTTGACTCCGGAAATACTCCTTTCAGCAAGAGGTTTTACCATCTCAGAAAAATACCAAATTATAGTCTAAAAATCAAACATCTACAACATTCATTAATTTGATTTCAAAAAATCTTTTTGTCCTGATTTACATGTGCTTGTGTAGTGCACATAGAGGTGATTGCACAATAGCTTAAAATGAAGTCCTACTCTTGTAAACTGTGAGGGGGTGGAGGGCATGGGGGTGGGTATAGGTTTATGGGGGGCTGTGGGTGTGTGGGTATGCGCAGGAGGGTATGAGTGTGGGGGGGTTGTGGGGGAAAGTGGGTATGAGCATGTGGG